CCCCGTGGCGTTCCCCCGAGGGGGGGATGTGTGCAGCGGTGCCCCACCTGAGCGAGCCGAGCGCAGGATGGCTGAGCCGGCGCTGGCAGCTGCTGCTGGCCTGGAGCACCGCGCTCGATCTCATTTTTTGGGCACGTGTTGGCAATTCCCCGGTGTCTGTAACAGGTTGGGGTTCCTGCTTAGGAAAGGGAGAATGCCAACACTTGGACCCTTGGCAAATGGCAAGCTCTTACCTGTCCTCCGGAGAACGCCTTTGCTGGGTGACAGCCCGAGCACAGCACAGAGATGGGTTTGACCCCAGGCTCATACCTACTGGGGGCAAAGGATTTCTGAGAATGTCATCAGTTCACCCCTCGGGAAGGTGGGAAAAGGGAATCCGGGCTCTGCACAGCTCTGGCAGCAGGTCGGCACTGAGGTGTCTCAGCTGAGTTGGGGAGGAAGGCTGCACGGTCCCAGCCTGCAGCCGTTGCTGTCACCCTGACAGTTCTATTTTACTTGTCTGCGCTCACTCTCACCCCAGGGACTAGCGCTTGCAGCTTCCTCCCCTGTGGGAATCCTGTGTAACGTTCTGGATTCCAGCTGCCAACAGAAAGGAGAGGGTGGGATGGTGACATGTGCACCGGAGCCTTTGAAATGCTTCAAAGCGTGTATCTGCTCTTAACAGGTTGAGTACAGCACATGGACTCTAATCCTCAGGCATTACTCTTCCTGTAGCTGCAAAAAAGCAGATGGCATTTGCAGGTGTGCATTTGGGCAGAACACCAGGGAGCAATACCTGATTCCTCTAACAACCGTTTTCTTGGAGCAGGTAATGCTGACTGGTGGCGCCTAGGCTCTTAGCTCTCGCTGTTTTCTTATGCAGGTCCCAGACTACCTGGATCACATCAAGAAGCCAATGGATTTTCAGACAATGAAACAGAAACTGGAAGCCTATCATTATCTGAATTTTGATGACTTTGAGGAGGATTTCAACCTGATTATCAACAACTGTTTGAAATACAATGCCAAAGACACAATCTTCTACCGGGCAGCCATTCGTCTGCGGGAGCAGGGAGGCGCTGTTCTCCGGCAGGCTCGCCGGCAGGCAGAGAAGATGGGCATTGACTTTGAGACAGGCATGCACTTCCCACACTGTGTAACTGTGGAAGAGGCTCAGGTCCAAGATGTTGAGGATGGTGGGTACTCATCCCCTGTCCTGGGATACCAGGGCTACTTAGAGCTAAAGCCCCTGCAGAGTCAGGGCACCTGGAGGTCTGTTGTTCTTGCTGCTTCCCATAGGGAAGTTTAGTTGGATAGCTGGATGGTGTGTGCCCGTTCCCCAAAGAGGTGGGGGCTTTGCTAGCCAGGTACATGTTGGTCCCATTAACTTGGTTTTAGACAGCTGCTAGTCCGGGGTCCGAGTGTCCTGCCAATCACTCAGTCACTCTTCCTCCTCTTGGTCAGAGCAGAAGGGTATCTGGGAAGTGGCCTCACTGGCCGGCATCGGGCGTACTGTCACATCCCATCCGCAGCATTTGGCCATGAGCTGCTGAGGTTCCTGCCTTGCTGCCAGTCTAGAAGGGCTGAGTCCCTCTGCTCAGTGCTGCGTGCTCCTCCCCTCTCTCCCTACCTGAGGGCTTAGCTAGACCCTACTGGCTCTGTCTGATTGTAGTTTTGTTTGTCCCCACTGAGCAGTGGGGAGCAGCAACCAGGAATAATTTGTCGGAGAGGGGCCCTTCTAGGACCAGCATGGAAGGGGCCGCCCCAGGGGCCTAGATGGTGGAACTCCCCTTTCCCTCCTCTGTAGTGCTTCAGCACTGCTTTGACTCTTGCTTTTCTGCCGTATACTGTTAAAACCCCCTCTCTTGTTCCTGTGGTGTCCTTGCCACAATGGACACGAACCCTGGTGTTCTCCATGCTGGTCAGCCTGACTTCCCCAGTAGTCCTAACTGGCCTGCTTCCCACAGGGCTCCTTCTCCAAGTCTTTGGGGTAACTTGCGCTGCTCACAGGTGTTTGGTACCATGTAAGCTATTTCCCTCCTGAGGCGAACCTGCATTGCCCCATGCTCTTTCATGTAAAGGATCTCCAAAGAGTTCCTGATGTCTTTCATTCATCTGCTCCTCTTTATGCCCCCAGAAGATGTGCGGCTGCTGCTCTCAGAGAATCAGAAGCACCTGCCCTTGGAGGAGCAGCTGAAGATCTTGCTAGAGCGGCTGGATGAGGTTAACGCTGGGAAGCAGAGCATAGGACGGTCCCGCCGGGCCAAGATGATCAAGAAGGAGATCACAGTCCTACGCCGGAAACTTGCTCACCCACGGGACCTGGGCCGAGATGGGCCAGAGAGGCACGGCTCCTCTGCCAGGGGAGTCTTGCAGTCACACAACCCCTGTGAGAAGGACCTGCAGACAGACAGCGCTGCTGAAGAGAGCAGCAGCCAGGAGACTGGCAAAGGTACTGGGCCCTCCAGAATACTGCTGGTTCCTGGGGAACTGTGGAGAGCCCACCTCTGGACAGGCTGTCTGGCAGTGAGGCCACCCTGCCGAGTGCCTCCTGAGACCCGAGGGCCATGTGGGCAGCTCCACGCGCAAACCTCACTCTTAGCTCCTCCTTAGGGGCAGGGCAAATGGCCTCTCTGGAGGAAGTCCCTTGTCTCCCATTCCCATGTGGAAGTCCCTTGGCTTCCACAGTGCGTCCCCGAGGGGCGGGTGGCCTGAAGTTCCTGCAGAGTAGAAAATCTGCGCCTCCCCAAGCTCCTTTCTGGTGTGCTGAGCTGGGGGATCTGAGGACGGCAGCCTGCTGGGTATTTTGTAATGAGCCGTGCCTGCCAAGCAGGGGGGAAGCCAGCCAAAGGAGGCTGTCTGCTGTGTCTGGAGCAGATGCAGTATGGTATGTGTTTGTCCCTAGAGAGTCAGCAGGTTGGTGGTGTTTGCAGCTGTGGTCAGCCATTCATCTGGTGAACTCACCTCCCCTGTGGCTGAGGAGCTGGATATCATCCAAGAGATTGAGCATTTTGCCATGAAAATCCCAGCTGCGCGATGTGAGGTGTGAGACACGTTGTTTCCTGATGCCAGGTCCTGTGCAGATCTGCCTCACTGCCTGGTTTCTCTAGGGACATTGACAGGCTTTCAGAGCTGCCTTCGTTGTCCCTTCCTGCCTGGGAACGGCATGGGGCCCAGGAGGGAGTTGCAGCAGGGCTAGAAGTACTGACTGTTGAGCTCCAAACATCTGCTCAGGGCCTGGGAGCTGAATGCTGACCAGCCGTGAGCTCCCCTGGGTTCCTGGTCGTGCGTGCTGGTGGAAGGAGATGCTGAGCTGGGCTGCTTGGAGAGCACAGCAAAAGCTCCACCGCACGATAACCCCAGGCAGAGCTGCGAGGTGTCCCTGGGGCTTTGTCACCTTTGCATCATGGTTCTGTCCCTCTAAGCACTGGGAGAAGAAGGCTTTTCCGCCAGCAGGGAGTATTTTAGTGTCATTGTCTTTCAAGAGTGCAGCAAACATTCTTGGCTGCTGCCTGTTTGAACACATCATGGGAAAGGCTATTCCTGCTTATTCTGCTTTCTTGACTTCTCTTTCAATGAGTTTGGTGTGTGTGAGGGCATCTGTGTGGCTGGTGGAGTATTCTTTGATGTCCCCATCTGTGCTGAGCTCCCACCCTGTTTTACTGTCAGCAGAGCTGATGGTTCGACCCTGAGGGCAAGCATGGCAAAGCTCAGGATTGAGAACCTTGCGAGAAGGAGCTCCTGAGGAACCAAACTGCTCCTTTCTGCTGCTGTCGTGTGGTGCCTGATGGGTCCCACAGGGTGGAACTGATGCCTTCTCCTCCCTCTTTCAGGTCTGGGTCCCAATTCTTCTTCCACCCCAGCACATGAAGTTGGCAGGAGGACCTCTGTGCTCTTCTCCAAGAAGAACCCTAAAACCGCAGGACCCCCAAAACGTCCAGGACGCCCTCCAAAGAATCGAGACAGCCAGATAACTCCTGGGCATGGGAACAGCCCGATTGGCCCCCCCCAGCTCCCAATAATGGGGTCCTCCCAGCGGCAGAGGAAGCGAGGGCGAAGCCCGCGCCCCAGCTCCAGCTCGGACAGCGACAGCGATAAGTCAACTGAAGATGCTCCCATGGGTTAGTGCAGCAGCTCCCCTCTGCACAGCCAGGCCGTAGCAGCCCTGGAGGAGTGCGTGGCGGCATTCTGTGCCATTACAATGTTGTCCTTCTGCTGGTTTCTTTTGCAGACCTGCCAGCCAACGGCTTCAGCAGTGGGAACCAGCCAGTGAAGAAGAGCTTCCTGGTCTACCGGAATGACTGTAATCTTCCTCGGAGCAGCTCCGACTCAGAGTCCAGCAGCAGCAGCAGTAGCAGTGCTGCCTCCGACCGTACCAGGTACCGTGCCCTGCCTGGCTCTGGCTGCACTGCTGCTGCTTAAGTTGCCAGTGAGCATCTGGCAGCCTTGAGCTGCTGCGCAAGGAGTGTATTTGATGGTACCTCCCTCTTTCACCCTCCCGCAGGCCATATGGTGATACAAAGTGCTAGAAGGCTGCGGGGCCTGGCTGTGCCTTCTGAGCCTTTTTGTGTGTAGCACTGCGGCAGGTCGTTCCCCTGCTGAGCTCTGTGGGCTGCTGCCCTTCGAGGTGCTGGCGGTGGCAGCGAGAGCCTGGGAGCTTGCTGGGGCTCCCTCCAGGAGCCTGAGGGCCACCAGGATTGTCCTCTAGAAGATAGCTTCTGGAAGCTTAATGTGACTCCTCTAACAGCTCTGCTATCTTTCTCTCTCCTTTCAGCACAACACCCTCAAAACAGGGTAGAGGGAAACCCTCCTTCTCCCGCGTGAACTTCCCAGAGGACAGCAGCGAGGACACGTCAGGGACAGAGAACGAATCCTACTCTGTTGGCACTGGGCGAGGTGTGGGGCACAGCAGTAAGTGTCTTGGCCTTTCTGCCCCAAGCCCAGCTCTTGTCATCTTTCGGAAGGGACAAAGCTGACTACCTTCTCGTCCTTTTTTTTTGTTTTGGCACAGTGGTGCGGAAGGGCATTGGTCGTGGCGCGGGGTGGCTTTCAGAGGACGAGGATTCCTCCCTGGATGCCTTGGATCTCGTGTGGGCTAAGTGCCGAGGGTACCCGTCGTACCCAGCGCTGGTGAGTACAGCTGGCTGACGCTCTCGGCCCTTCCCTGCTGCCCAGGGTCAGCAGTCTGGAAAATCTCAGCCTGGCGGACTGCAAGGGGCTTGGGCCCCAGCCTCTCAGCAGGCTGGGCAGAGCTCTGCAAACCCGCCGGCTCCCCCACGCCCGGTGAGCCAAAGGGTTTCTCAGCTGGGGAGGGGATACCGTGCCACCAGCTCCATCGGAAGGGATGCGCGCGGACGGAGCCATGCAGCCTCCTCGTCGGTGCTGAGCGCAGCCATTCGCCCTCTTCCCAGCCCTGTGAATTTGTAGTTTCTTTTGAACCCCCGCGAACTGGGACAGCAGTTGTACAATGTAACTGCTGTGTGCGGGGAAGAGGGAGGGCAGCTTTTTAATTTGTTTCTAGTGTTTGACCGGAGGCCCTTGCTGCTACTTGTAACAAGCGGGATGGAAACAAATATGCTTTGCCCTGCTGTTTAGCATCACAGGTGCAGAGCGTTGCACAGACGTTTTGGTGGCTGGTGTTTATATATAATCCTCAGTTCTTTTCCTGCTGCCCGCTTCCCAGAGAAATTGTGCAGGCCTTGGCTGCCGTCAACCCTTTGCCAACGCAGTAGCTGGGCCCCAGGCGGCTGGGCCCAAGCCGGGGCAGAATTACTGGGTGAGGTTTTCTGGTCCCTTAAGGGGTGATTACCCTCTGCTGTTAGCACCGTCCCAAACCCTTAAAGGGACCTTGAAGGTGGCCTAACGTCACTGTGGAAAACACCTCCCCAGGGGCATCAAGGGCCAAACTCTGGTACCGGCTAGAGGGCTGTGAGCCCCACGGCTAGTGCAGCGCAGAGTGACTGCTGCCTCCTCCCCACAGACCGTGTCTCAGCAGGGCCTCGTTGGGCGTCTGCACTCTGGCCCCCTCCTCCTCTGCCCGCGCAGTGCCTGAACTTGCTCTTTTGCCAGATCATTGACCCGAAGATGCCTCGGGAAGGCATGTTCCACCATGGTGTCCCCATCCCAGTGCCCCCCCTGGAGGTGCTGAAGCTGGGAGAGCAAATGACTCAGGAAGCACGAGAGCATCTGTACCTTGTCCTCTTCTTCGACAACAAGCGCACTTGGTAAGGGCTGGCCTAGGGCATCTCTCGCCGGCCGGGGCTGGGCGGGGGGTTGGAACTGGGCCCGTGAGAGGTAAGGGGCTGGAAACGGGGGCGGTGTGCAGATGATTGTAACCCTCAAACGAGGCGGCTTCCCTTTTCCCGCAGGCAGTGGTTGCCTCGAACAAAGTTAGTGCCTCTGGGGGTAAACCAGGACCTGGATAAGGAGAAGATGTTGGAAGGCCGCAAGTCAAACATCCGCAAGTCTGTGCAGATCGCCTACCACCGAGCCATGCAGCACCGCAACAAGGTGCAGGGCGAGCAGAGCAGTGACTCTAGCGAG